TATTATGTGTATTTTACTGGGATGGATATTTCAGAAGTTTTGAAAATGTAAATGCAGCTGTGCTTATGACAGAACAGTGTATTCATATAGTGAACAGAAAATAGGACAATATAAGTAAGCAGGCAGATCTATTCTTTAAAAACATTTTTTCAGTTGAAACTGTTAATGTTTTCTGTACAAATGAACTAAACTCAGCTTTATTTATATAACGCTTTTCACAGTTGATCCAAACTATGTCTCCTAACATAAGAGAAAACACGGAAAGTAATAATAATAGATTAAGCCTGACAATTGTTGCCAATCTTGTTTTGAATTTTTTGGGGGTTAATAAACAATAGCACACCTATTATAATTAATGTAGGCTATTTAAATTTTACTTTTAAATATACTATACTGTATATTTGCATTTTATATTTTTATGACAACAGGAAAAGGTAAATAGTTGACCAAATATTTTTTTATTTTCTTTCATTGTATTTCTGTTCTGTATTAAATTTATCTTTAATTTTGTTATTTTTGATGATATTGTTAATTACTATTTGCACAAGTGTGACGTGTGTGTTGTTTGTCTCAGAATAAACCAACAGATGGATAATATATAAACATTTATATACAAACATTTAGCGGTAACGTTAGTAATTAATTAACGTTAATAATTATAAAAATCATGAAACTCACTCTACCGCGTTCATCCAAGTACCGGAAGTCAACCGGAAGTAGAGATGGCTCTCTGGCAGCTTCACAGGATCTTAAACCTCTGGTGATGTCCTTGACTAACACACGTGATTTAACGCTGAACCGGCAGCTAGCTAAGCTAACTAGCTCCATCCATAGAGGAGCCGCTCTGAAACAGTGTGGATATCTCCTCGGTTCAGTCTGAAAGGCTGCTGCACTTTGAGCACACAGCCAGATAAAATGTCCTGCAGCACTAAGCTGCTGTCGCTGTTGGTGCGGCGGTGTGTCGCAGTTAGACAGCTAACGTTATCGGCAGCGAGTCAAACCAGAGGCGACGTGTTGTCGGCCAGGTGTAGGTTCATTCAGCAGCGAACATGGACATCAACAACCCGGACAGTGTGTCTACCGAGACTGCATCAGCTTCAGTCCGCAATGAAAAGCAGCCAGTCCAGTTTCTGTACCAAGGTGAGCCACATGCAGCACAGACATTATTACAGTGAGTGACAGTGAGTGAGGAGCTACTGACTGCTCAACCTGGAGACGAGCCTGTTAACCTTTAAGGATTGTTACGTGTGTTTTATCAGTGGTTTAATATAGCTCAGTGATCGGTCTCAGTGTGTTTAAGAGGTAGGTAGATTCTTACTTTTAGGAAGTGGTGGAGGAAGTCTTCAGATCCTTTAGGAAATGTTCTGATAAATAAAAATACATAGCTGAACGTGGAAGTCCTGCATTATAAATGTGACATACGTTATGTAACACAAGTATGTAAGAATAACCAGGAAAGTGTATAAGTATAGAAATAAAGGTTCTGTAAAATGTCCCATGTGACTGTTATACTGTGTTATATTATTAGAGTATTATTACTCATTCATTAATATAAAAGCAGGACTTTACTGTTTGGTTTAGTATTATTTCCATTATGGATTCATCTGCTGATTATTTTCTCCATTAATCGACCGATTGTTGGGTTTGTAAAAATTCAGACAGTGGTGAGAAATGCAGTCAGTATTTACCCAGAGCCCAAAGTGACACCTTCATAATGTTGTCCTCAAAATGATGAAAAATGCATTCAAATTATTGAAATAATGAAAAAGTAAAAGCAGTCGATCCTTAAATTTGCGAAACTGGAACCATTTAATGTTTTAGCATAAGCAGTACATGTACACAATATATACTGCTGGGTAGTTACGTTTATAACAAAGCATCATATTTTATAAACTCTTGTTGTCTTAATTTCTAAAGCAACTAGGAGCTAAATCTGTCCGAAAAAAAGAAAGTGAAGTAAAAAGTCCAGTACTTCCCTCTGAGGTGCAGTAACAGTATAAAGTGTCATGAAAAGAGAAGACTGAGGTAAAGAACGGGTACTTCAAATGTGTACTTGAGTAAATGTACCACTGCATTTAAGTAGAGAGGGGAAATGTGGATTAATTAATACAGAGACAATTATCAGAGCACTGTGTCCATATCATTGTGACGGCAAAATGTATTCAAGTATTCTAAGTAATAAATAATCCATGGTGTGCCCCATTGGGTCGATTACCTGCAGTAACTGCCTCAGAGCCCCAGGCGGTGGTAGCTGCAGCAAGTGTGTGGCTAAGTCGTCATATTTACATTTTGTCTTCCAGGCTGAAACACCGTGTGATGATGAATACCCACCACTGCCGGCCTATGATCCCGAACCAGAGAAGAGGGAGGTGTACGTCATACAGGTGATAGGTTTCCCGTGGTCGTGCTCGGCTCAGGATCTCCTGCAGTTCTTCTCAGGTGAGAGATTTGTGGAGACTCCGTAACAGTCAGTGAGTGTCACACCTCTACTTAAGGTGGCGATTAGAGCCCCGCTGATATGTCGGGTCGATTACTGATCGATGTTTGCTCATCACAAATACATTAATATTAGCAATTCAAGTGGTTTTAATCAGTTTAAATCTGACAGTGAAGTTTACTTTTCAAAATGTGATCACTTTCTGTTAATGTTGTATTTGATAGTAGAGACCATTTTCCAATTGCTGAACATCCTGCCTCAGCACACAGTATACTATATCTTTGTCATAACTCTTTAATTACTAAATCAATGCCACAAATGTTAGTCTTACGCTGTGGTCTGCTCTCCTGATTGTCTAACAGCAATTTTTAGTAATTCTTTTTTTCTGTGCTTCAGAGTGTAGGATCCGTGACGGGGTGAAGGGGATCCATTTAGTTGTGGATAAAACGGGGAGGCCGCCGGGACAAGCTTTCATCGAGCTGGAGCACAAGGAGGATGTCAACAATGCTCTGGAGAAGCACGGACAGTTCATGGGTCCACGCTACGTTGAAGGTTCGTCTCTTAGTATTCCAGGCTGTGGAGGGCTGAAACACAGATGCCGATTGGACTTTTTCACAAAGACATTTTGAAATGCCATAGCAGGGAAATCACAGATGGAAATGATAATATTAGTGGTGGCTGGATTCCATTTAGCTGCTTCAGTTTCAGGGCCCTGCTGTTGTTCATGCTGTCATGGCTTACTGGGACTTTTGAATTATTTCGTTAATAATGTAACTTTCAGTCAATAATGGACACATTAGCCAATATGAAAATGCTCATGTCCTGCTCTTTGTGTTTTTAAAGTGTATGAAGTGACAAACAGAGATGCTGAAGTCATCCTGAAGAAACAATTCAATACCGAAGTTCATGAGCGGGTGGTGCGGCTCAGAGGTCTCCCCTACAGCTGTACAGAGGCCGACATCGTCCAGTTTTTTTCAGGTAAACAACCCCTTACTTGCAAATTGTACTTGCAGTATCAAAAGTAAAAGTACTCATTCTGCAGTAAAATGGTATCAGTATTTATTATTGTATATGATGTTCTTGGATTAATATTACTGCTGCGTGAATGTGTGTGTTGCATTTTCCTGCTGTAGATGTTGAGCTCATTTCAACTACTTTATATACTGTTGGGTAGTTTCATCTACAGCATCATATTCTATAAGATCATCATATGTTTGCAGAGTTGCTGTCCTTTGAGAAGGCATTTCCCAACTCATTCAAGAGGGTTTCTACTTTACCTTTTAAAGTAGGACAATTTACAACCCACAAAGGAACACTTCTTCACTTAATCAGAAAGATTCAAATTTAAATAAAAGTAAGTTACCAAGTGAAAGTACAATATTTGACTTTGTGGTAAAGTGGATTAGAAGTATAAAGTTGTAATAAAGTGGAAATAATATAATAATAAGTCCACGTTGACACATTGACAGTATGAGGTTACCTGGCCAACCCAAATTACATTTCACTTGAGCCTGAGTGGAGAATGAGTGGAGAATAAGTTGATGAAAAATATGAAAAACTGGAAACTGTGTCTTTCAGGTTTGGATATAATGGAGAATGGGATCACCTTTGTCAAAGACTACAGCAAACGAAGAAACAGTGGAGAGGCCTTTGTGCAATTTTCTACTCAAGAAGCAGCGGATGAAGCTCTGCAGAGAGACAGACGTCACATCGGAAACCGGTAGGGTTCTGCACATGCTCACTGTGTTTCTCTCATTTCTGTCCAAATACACACAAATGATACACACTTGCGTATCATATTTGTCGGTCTGTTGCTCATCCCTTGCCGTCTGTACTTGCAGATACATTGAAGTGTTTCCCAGCAGAAGCAACGAGATTTATTCTGAAAAAACGTCAGCTCCTCCTCAGCCCAGCCCTTATACAACGTCCAGGAGGAACGCCTCACTGATCAACAGACCTCGTAAGGGGATTTAGGGGTTCATTATTGAGTTTGTAGTACCCCCAAAATGTATTATTATTATTATTATTATTATTATTATTATTATTTTAAGAAATCTGTAAGAAATTAATCTAAGAATAAATCGGGGTCAGAATCTGATGTTTAAATTATACTTTGTAGCTCAAACACTGTTGTTTTAAAACAGGTGGCTACCTGATTCTTGCATAGATTTGAGCGTGCGGATGGTTTTCTTCATTAAGTTAAGTAGTCATTGGTGGGGTTTTTTTTTCTGGATTTTTGATGGTTGGGGGCAGAATCCTGGTGAAAATATATTTAAACTGATCAATTCCTTAAAAACATAAAACAAAATGAAAGCCCAAATGACACATTAACAAGGTTGAAGTAGACTTGAAAAGTGGGAAGATGTTTTACAGATATTTGACATGTCTGCTGTGCGTGACAACATTTATTAAAACAGTTTATCCTGGTGTATCTGCTCTATCAGGACCTCTTAGTAGCTCGGCCCCCCAGTCTCATTACGTCCATATGAGAGGACTTCCTTTCGAGGCGACCGGAGAAGACATTGTTAGGGTAAAAAAAGAGAAAAAATGAAGACAAACACATCAAGATGTTAAAACTGCATTAGAGGTCACTTGCGCATGATTTTCTGATGTGCTTTTTCTCTTGCAGTTCTTCTCTCCTCTTGTTGTGTCTAAGATCCTGATTGAATGCGGCCCACAGGGCAAGCCGAGTGGAGAGGCCAGCATTTACTTCAGCTGCCACCAGGACGCCGTAGCCGCCATGTCCAGAGACAGAGAGTTTATAGGTGAGACTGTTAGAGACACCAGGACCAGCTGACGTAGGCATTTTTAATAACCTAGGAATATCAGTGTATATCAGTCAGGATGCTTTCTATCGCGTCAAAATAATTATTGCTGTTCATTGGTCACCTCAAGTTGAACTTTCACTCAACATTTTAACCTTCTCTTATTTTTAGGAGACAGGTACATTGAGTTATTCCTGAACACTGGACCAGAATAGAAGGTAGAAGGTGAGAAACACTGAATTACACACACTCTAATGTATATGACACGGTATTTGGCTCTCAGCAGTGCACACATGTAAATAACAAAGGAGACAGAATTGTACATCTCTTAGGGACAGTTTAGTGAGTGTCCTTGTTTGTCTTGGATCACAGTAAGAGTTGTAATTACATCCCATTTGGGAATTCCCAGTTTTTTATGAAATGCATCGCAGTCTCTGTGCTGCTTTCCTTTTGTAAAAATATATTTGGTTTCAAAATCTTTTAAAAGTGTGATTTTACTGGTTTTAGCTTCTTGCACAAACTTTGCTGAGGTTACATTCTAACTCAGGATGTGATTTAACATGTTGCATCTACTCCTGCAGGTGAATGGCGACACACAGATGCCAAACACATACACAAGACTATTGTATTCATTTTCCAGCCTGCCTCGGAGATCATACCATTAAAACATCCCTGGTGTCAAAAGAAACACTACCTTTATTGTCTCTCCTCCTCTTGCTACTTATAATAACGTTGTATTCTGCTCAGTAATGTTAGTAAAGGTCATTAGTGTTAAAATATGCCTCAAAATGCATTTTTCTCTTGACACCCACAAAGAGTATTCCTGTAACGTGAAGACGCAGGGTACCTAAGAGTCAGGACACTCTATAATAATGTCTTGTGTTAAATTATTTTAAAAAAACCCATCAGAATGTTTTATTGTACAAACAGACATGTTATATAAATAAACAGGCAATCAATTTGTCTTAACAGCGTATTTATTTTGTCACTGTGTCTTTACAGAAAGTCTCCTCTCTGGAATTTAACTTGACATCATGAGTGATGAACTGGCGAATGCTTTAAGGAAAGCCTGCTGTGTCATGGTTTCACTTGGTCAAGTGTGAGAGTTTCTAAAATGAATGAAGTTGAAGAATGAACACGTCAAAGGTAGCTGTGAGTGAAAATGACAACAGAATTTATATAATTTATAATTAAATATATGCAGAATTGTGGATTTCCAGATGGAAAACCAAATCCTGATATTGGTGCCATACAGTATCACTTTCAAAACTAGCCTACTGGCTTCAGCTCATTGTTGGATTTGAGAAAAACATCTGAATGTCAACCTTATGTCACCAAAATAAATGGTGCTTTCAGAGTTAAGTCTCATATTAAAAAGACCATTTATAGAATGAGTTACTGATCTTGGCAGCTGAATCAGTACATCAGGATCATGCTGGTTTGTAAACCTTTGAGATAACATCCAAATATATTCATGACAGTTGTTAAAAGTGGAGCTTTGTCAGCCAATCAAATATCTAAAAAAAGCTTTTCTTGAATAATCTTTATTACTCTGAATTACTCATTACTTGAGCTCTTACAAAACATTTATCTACGTTTACTAGCATCGGTCGCTTTGAATGGTAAAACTAATTGCAGGAGGATACATTTTGTTGTGTGGATAAACCAAAAAGCAAATTTGAAGCAACAAATACACTGAAATTGTCCTCTGAGATACTTTAGGAGAATAATTTTTAGTTTTTGCTTACAGAGGAGGATCTAAGGATTAACTGAACTCTTTACTCTTCATGTGAAGTGACATACAGGTTAAAATAATCCAGTCGTACACCAGCAAAATTTAATAAAAGTTTATTGTCGATCTAAGAAGCATTTCCATCTCACGTGTTAATTAGCTTCAACAAGAATGAATAAATCTTTAACTGGTTTTTACCAAGCTTCTAATTATTCTTCATAAAAACCAACAAAACATAAAAATAGCTGTTCTAAAGATGCCCCGATATGCCCACTTCAAACCAGACAGGCAGAAAAGCCATGCATTTAAAAGTGCGATAATATGTTACAATGGCCAGAAAGGAGTTAGATTATCCAGAGAAAAGACTAAAATCTAAATATCCGACTGTTTTATGATTTAACTGCCACACCTCAAGATTAACCGGACAAAATATTGTCAGCAGGAGATGATTTTGAGCCCTTTTTGTTAATGCCGCTTCTAACTGATACAGAACACAATCAGCAGTAAAGAAATATAATACCCATAGCATTCAGCTTTGTGAACTCAAATGGTCTGACATTTTTGGAAATATGCTTAAGTCTGTACGGCAGATACAAAGCAACAGCCAGCAATTAACAGGTGCTTAGAGCATTTAGTTAGAATAAGCACACTGCCCAAAATGTCCAACCATTCCTTTCACATAAAGACTGAACAGCAAAATCAACTCTTTTCTACAGTCTGAACACCAATGCTGGATGATATGTTCATCTAATATTGATATCATGATAAGAGACTAGATATAGTCTAGCAGTCCAGGATTTTGCTTATCATATCGCTGTGATCAAACTTCAATATTTGTCTCTTCCTGGTCCTAAGTTCTACATTACAGTTTTACAATTTTATTAATCACATTAGACCAAGTGTATGACTAATGTATGAATATTTTTTTGGATTGTTTTGAACAATTTTGAGTATAAAAAGTGTTTCACAGCACATACAGGGTTTCCCAAAAAACTGACACATTTAATATCGTAGTATAATATAATTTGGTCAAAAGTGTCAGTATCGCCCTGAACCCGATGTGTGAAAATGAATGCTTCGTCTGAGAGACATAATGAAAAGTTTCAATAATGGAGAACAGTTGTGGCCAAAACAAAGTTTTCATCTTTTAAAACTGAGGTTAAAAATATTTGTCAGTTGACCTTTTAATCAATAATCCACCCAGTGGACATTGTGGAAATTCAGTTTTTAAATGCATGAGACTGAGGTTGTCTTTTTAGAATCAGTTATCTCCAACCAGGCACCATTTTCAGCTTTTTGAGTGCAGGTTTTCACTAGAAAAAGGTAACACAGCAGCTCAACACACACTTTCAGAAAGGAAGAATTATGGCTACACCTGTATTTGAAAAATGAAAACCTGCATACAAATAGCTCTCAACAGCAAATGTCTGGACATCGCTGACTTAAAGTAACTAAAATAATGCAAGTTCAGAACTCACAGGACTTCATCAGATCTTTCATCATTCAACGTGTTGAGTCATGAAAAGTCAAAAAGTGCATTTTTGCAGTGCCAGTTTTACAGATTAATGCTTCTGGTGTCCATGTGTCTGATCATTGTGTCTTGTAGTAAAATGCCGAGCTGTTTCATGTTGGCGTTGAAGCATATTGTTGGAGTAACAGAGAGAAGCAGGCGGTACACACAGTCTCTGGGAGAATGGAGGAAGGTAACGGCAGCTCTTTGGTCACACAGCTCTCACAGAAAACCCCACTGCAGTTCTTACACTGTTTCTGGAGAAAGAATAACAGGATTATAACTAAACACTAAAGCAGAATTAACCTTAAAAATCCTGGTTAAATCCAATGATGCCAGCTGGGTCTTACCACTTACAGTCTAGACTTTCTGAGCAAAAAGGAACTGTATTTTTTTTCTTCCAGGTGTTTCTGGGAGATTAATTTCAATATTTTTAACTCTGAACTGGAAACAACCCCATATTCTAAAACCTCTAATCAGTTCACTGTTTGTGTGATTCAAAGCTGGATTGGTTTGACAAAATATCACAGATGTAAACATAACAGTCTAAACTAGCAGCTCTGTCAGGCTGCCCTTTAGTATAGGGGTGCTTTGAGCTAAATGCTAACACCAGCATGCTAACAGTGGCAATGCTAACACACTGATGTTTGGCAGCAATGCCCAACAACTTAGTTAACTGTGTTAGCATGCTAACATCTGCTAATGATGAACAAGTGCAGGAGTCACCAAAGACGTTACAAATCCTCCTGAGGGCTGACAGACTGACCGATACTACATTAGAGCTACTGGTGAGGGGGCTAATACTGGCTATAATTCATCTAAAAATCCCATATGTATAAACCTTCATTTGATAATTATTCATTTTTTCCTGTAAAAGACAGTTAAGATTAAGTTAATTAAGACTGGACCACTGTAAGAGTTTACTAACACCCTCCTCTGATTGATAGAGGCACTAAATGTTGTAAAGGAGTGGATTCAGCACAGTTCAGAATAATCTCCCACCTCGTACCTTCGTCTTCAGGAGGGAGTCGTCCTCTTCACACATCGTACAGATGGAAGGCTCGCTGATCTCCACAAATGAGTCGTCCTACAGGAAATAAATTCATAATGAATGTTAATAAATAGCCAATATTTCTTTTGTAATATCCAATTTAAACTAGCACTACAAACATACTAGTTGACCGTTTCAGCCGTTACTTCAGTTCTTGTTTGCATCATTACAATACAAACTGCATGAATTAAATACAGTGAAGTAAATATTTATTTTCTGACTGCAGTAAAACCAATCATAAACAGATCGATTGATAAGAAATTTAAATTTCTTTTTGTGCATCAGACCTCACCTGTTCATCCTCATGGTGTGACAAGGACCTTAAAGGAGGAGATAAATACATGAATTAATAAAAGAGGAACCAACAATTTACTCAGATTATATATTTTCTAGAAGCTGTAGTTTTTAAAACTCCTTACAAACTGGAACTCAGACTTGTTTTGTCCTCTGCTCCTGTGTGTAACTGGTCGCTGTCCCTTTTGACTGATGGGGACTCTGGGGGACACTTGGTAAAACACGCAAATGTTGTGTCAGGACAAAGTAGACAGATCAGCAACAAGAGAAATCTTTAATTATGATCAAAGGTTTACTTTTGGTATGTTCTCTGGGTGTCTCCTCTCCCTCCGAGGAGTGGTGGACTGTCTGGACGCAGTGTCGAAATGATGCTCACTCCTTCGCTCTCGCTCTTTTCTCAGCTCCAGCTCCAGATTAGACCTGCAAATAAGACAAACAACGCAGTGAACACAAGTTTATACTAATAACATTCATAAAATTATGCTTTATCTGAAAAAAGACATGCAGAATTATAAAAAAATAAACATCCCAAAAATAATAAAAAATAAATACATAAAAACTATACTTAGCGCTGCATTTAGCATTTTAAAATTAATCAAAGGGGTTATAAATACCATAGATAGATAGACCATAAATTATAATATCAGCATCCTCGATGAGGCACTTTACATGTGTGACCGGGAAATTTAGTGAATGACTTTACAGCTACATTTATAGTCTGGTGTAGAAACTCCAACATCAGGCTCTACAAAGTCAACATAACACTCACAGACACCAAAAGAAATATGATTATTAGCTATAGTGTATGTAACTGTACAAGATGTATTTACAATAAGAGTGTGAAATGATAATTACGGGCTGCTTAAGGAAGCCCAAAAATTCACTTTCCAACCAAAAAGTCCTGATGCAGGTTCCATCAGTCCCAAATGCAGCTGTTTTCCATGGACATGTTAACTGCTTTGAAGTTGCACATTTCAGCCATATGAGAGCAAAGTAATAACCCCAGCTAGATATTCTGCCTACATCTGATAAACACAGCCACAGCTACAGTTCAGTCCATCCTAAAACACATTAAAAACTTTTTTTTTTTTTTCTGTTTTCAAATAGTTTTCGCTATGAATTAAGTCAATTAAGTTGAACAGTGTTTCCTACAGAGCTGCCCCCCGTGGCTGAGGTTAGGGTTAGGTGTGGCAGAGCTGAATGGCTGGGGTTGGGGTAAGATCAGGGTCATGTTAAGCATTTAGGGCAATGAGTGGTTGGTGGTGCGGTTTAATTTGGGAGAAAATAAGGGGAACCGATCTGTGGGGAAAGGAGTGTGACACAATGCCATTCACTGACAATCAAAATCCAAATCATTTTCAGGTAACGTGAAATTCATCTTGGTAACAATGGCCGTTTTAAACAATGTAGCAATGCCAGGAAATCCCGATTCATTTGACAATTTTGACAGATTGTGGCTGACCCCTCCCACCCTGGACACAAACTCTTTGAGACACTTCCCTCTGGCAGGAGGCTGCGGTCCATCAGGACCAAAACCTCACGCAACAA